AGTAGATTAATAGGAACCACCTTGGTGGGAAGGTAACGGTGTTCCGTGTCTAGTCACACTGGTCACATGACCACAGAAACGGTCTATGGACAAATGCTGGGTCTTTGGCTTACAAACAAGGATGAGCACCGGCCCCCTAGAGTCGGATGCAACAGGACTTAATTGTCAAGGGGAAATGTTTACTTTTACCCACAAATAGGGCAGATGTTTCAGCTTTGCATTAAAACTGTATATTTTCCAGCAAAGAAAGTGAGAACTGATATGTTCAAAAAGAGAGAGAAAGCTTATATATCTCCCCAAAGTACTTAAAGCAATCTCTGGGCAGTTAACAATTTAATTATACAGGTTACACACTGCCGCTGCCCCCCGCTCCCCCCCCCCGTGAGCTGGGTACTCATGTAGGTGTACGCATGCATACCTGGGTATAATTTATGAAAATATTTAAAAACCTTCTCCTTAGGAAATGAACTTTTAAGCATGCTTTGTGGCATGCTGTTCATGTGCCAGGGCCAGTGTTTGCATGTGCCATACAAATGGACTGCACAAAAGAAAAGTGGGCCATAAAATGCATTGAAGGTTGTCAGGAACTGGGCAAACAGAGTAAACCCTCTGAAAAGAGAGCAGATCCCAGAGAATAGTGCTACTTTACACATTTGTGATGCCAGATAATGGTTTGCCTAAGTGGGGACTGAGGGACGTGGTGGCGCTGTTGGTTAAACCGCAGAAGCCTCTATGCTGCAAGGTCAGAATCCATACATTGTAAGATCGAATCCATGCGACGGAGTGAGCTCCCGTCGCTTGTCCCCAGCTCCTGCCAACCTAGCAGTTCGAAAGCATGTAAATGCGAGTAGATAAATAGGTAGCAACACGGTGGGAAGTGTCTAGTCGCGCTGGCCACATGACCATGGAAACTTTCTATGGACAAATGCTGGTTCTATGGCTTGGAAATGGGGATGAGCACTGCCCCTAGAGTTGGACACAACTGGACTAAATGTCAAGGGGAACCTTTACCTTTATTAATTCCTGCTCACAATTTTAGAGGCTTCATCTCTGATGAAAAGATACTGACTTGGAGCCTAACATCTGTTCACAAGCTCTTTATGGCAAAGCTTGTGCAAATAAGAATACAATCGTGACTGAGGACATAGGCCCTATAGGAGTAGGATCCTTATTTGTGTCATGTTGAAAGACTCAGTATCTGTCAGCACTAGCACATAGGGAAGGGCTGGGGAATCTCTGTCCTCCCTCAAATGTTTTGGGGCTCTGCCGCTCCTATCAATGCTAGTCTGAATGATGGAAGTTGTTGTTTGACAACCTTAGGAGAATCATCAATTTCCTGTCGAGGATTAGAGCATACGGTATTATTTTCTTGTTTCACATTCAGCTCCACTGCATGTAGAGGTTTGAAAGTGATTTCTGCTATTAGTGTTTTTTTTTTTAATTGTTGTTGCAGATGTGTCCGGGAATGTAGTTCCTTGCTCAGAACCTGTAGGTGTTCTCATCTACAGCCCTTCCTCAGAAACCACAATAGGTGCGAATGTGACACTGGAATGCAACTTAACAACCAATTGTCTGCCAATCAACTATACTTTGTTCTTTGAAAGATGTAATATCAAAGGCAAGGCAATCAAGAAAAAGGCGAAGGAAAATATTGTGTTTAAATTAACCATCAACTCCAGAAGTGAACTTGGTGAATATAAATGCAAAGCTCAGTACCTATTTAATAATACATTCAAAGCCAAATACAGTTCTGGTTTCAACTTTACCCTAAAAGGTAAGTGTATTATCCCCTGGGGTAATCTCAAGACATTGTGGGACCTCCTCTTTAAAATCGGACATTTGGAGTTCCTGGTGATTGTGTGAGGCTACTTCCTTGTGGCTGCGGCTAGGTCAGGCCAGAGCCTACATTTGCTAGATGCATTTCCAAAGCTGAAGAAGAGCTATCCAGCAGAAAAAGTGTTTAAAGTTGTTACCAGTCAGACACACACAAAAATTATTGCAACTACAGTCATCCAAAGAGGTCGCTTCCCAGTAGGTAGGGGTAGGCCTTCAAAATTTTCAAGCAAAATATGGGTTGTTATCAGAGCAGATCCTCATTATACCCATATGGACTCTATCTGTGGCCGAAAGACATTGTGGGTTTTGATCCTACTTTCCCTTCCATTAACAGAACAGAATTTTGCTCATTAAATGTGGATTTGCTGTTTCCCCTTCCCTCTGAATCCCCCTTTGTCTCCACCAAATTTTGCTCCTCAGGGGCTGCAAATGGAGATGAAAATGGGTGAATTCCAACACCCCCATGTAAGGGTTCGGCTTTTGGGTCCACATTCAGTTCAAAGAAATCAGTAGATTTTTGTTGCTTCAAAACAGGTGAAAGATTTATTGGTGCATTTAACAATAAGCAAGTGTGATGATTGTGAGTCTCACATGATTGTGAGTCTTTTCTCCTTCTGCCAATGGATCTGGAATGGACTTCCAATCATGTGAGTCTTTTCTCCTTCTGCCAATGGATCTGGAATGGGCTGCCAATCGTCAAACAGGAACGGGTTGCCATAACTAATATCCCATGGTCCTGGTAATTCGGTGGCAACCCAGTCTCTCATGGTTTGCCCTGTTGAACCTTCCAGCGAGGGGATGGTCTCGTCATTGCGATCTCTCTTTCTCTTCTCTTAATCTCTCCCCACTCTCTAGCTTCTCCTTCTGCCAATGGATCTGGAATGGGCTGCCAATCGTCAAACAGGAACGGGTTGCCATAACTAATATCCCATGGTCCTGGTAATTCGGTGGCAACCCAGTCTCTCATGGTTTGCCCTGTTGAACCTTCCAGCGAGGGGATGGTCTCGTCATTGCGATCTCTCTTTCTCTTCTCTTAATCTCTCCCCACTCTCTAGCCTCAGCTTCTCCCCAATGAGAGGGTCTAGGGATGGATCTCTCTTCTCCTTTTGTAATCCGCCTCCTCCATAGGCACTCTCAGTCTCTCCCATAATCCTGTCCAGGGATCCTCCATCCACACCAATTCCCC